GGGACTTTGGCACCAGGTGTGCCTCGTAGGGCCATACCTGCCAGCCCCCAGAGCAGCAGCCTCGGACACGGGCAGACCCTGCACCTATGAGCACTCACTCCCCATCCCTTTCCCCACGGCCCCTGCTGCCCACCTGTCTGCCTCCTGTGCAGTGGCCTGGGTGGAGGGAGGGTGGACGGATCCGCTGTGTGGCCTAGTGCAGTGGTCGGCAAACTGCGGCTCATGAGCCACATGCGGCTCTTTGGCCCCTTGAGTGTGGCCACGAAGTTTCGATCGCACTGTACGTGCGTGCCCACAGGTGGTATTTTGTGGAAGAGCCACACTCAAGGGGCCGCAGTTTGCCGACCACTGGCCTAGTGTGTCTGGCTTCTCTCACTTCGCAGAAAGTTCCCAGGTTCGTGCATGCCATGTCATGAGTGACCAGGTGAACCGGTCAATAATGCGGATTTCCCCCAATAGATGGAGTCACACTGGTCAATAATGCGAATTTTCCCCAATAGATGGAGTATGTTGATCTACATGCGATTTGATATGTTTTTATGCTCTTTGGTTGTATTGCTCCTTCCGATGACCACCTGTTCCCATTGATGGCACATGCACGTTCTGAGCGGCGCTTCAACACGTGCGAAGACGTGGGAAACTGCGTCTCTGAATGGTCGGCCTCAAAACAAGGAAAGTTCTATTGGGACGCTCTCCACCAATCACCTGAGAGGTGGGGAATGTGTAGCCAGCGATGGACATGACTTTGAATAAAGCACTTTTGATGTTTCTCTTGAAATTATCGTGTTTTCTTTGATTACAAAATCCGCATTTTTTAAAAATTCTTTATTAGTTAAGATATTACAAATGTGTCCTTATCCCCCCATGAACCCCCCACAAAATCCGCATTTTTAACCGGTATCCACACTTTTTAAAAAATATATATATTTTGATTTTTTTACAGAGAGGAAGGGAGAGGGATAGAGAGTTAGAAACATCAATGAGAGAGAAACATCGATCAGCTGCCTCCTGCACACCGCCCACTGGGTATGTGCCCGCAACCAAGGTACATGCCCTTGACTGGAATCGAACCCGGGACCCTTCAGTCCGAAGGCCGACGCTCTATCCACTGAGCCACACCGGTTAGGGCGGTATCCACACTTTTATTTTTTCTTTTCTTTTTTTTTTTTAGTTTCTCCTGAACTCTTAGGGTCAACACCAGACTTCGAACCAGGGGAGCACTGGGCAGTGGCAGCTCCTCCCTGGTTTACCCCAAAACGTGCCCTGGCCGGTGTGGCTCAGTGGATAGAGTGTCGGCCTGCGGACCGAAGGGTCTTGGGTTCGATTCCAGTCAAGGGCACGTACCTCGGTTGCAGGCTCCTCCCTGGCCTGAGCCCTGGTCAGGTGCGTGCAGGAGGCAACCAATTGATGTGTTTCTCTCACATCGATGTTCCTGTCTTTCCCTCTCTCTTCCACTCTTTTTTTTAAATATTTTATTGATTTTCCACAGAGAGGAAGGGAGAGGGACAGAGAGCTAGAAACATTGATGAGAGAGAAACATCGACCAGCTGCCTCCTGCACACCCCCCACTGGGGATGTGCCCGCAACCCAGGTACATGCCCTTGACCGGAATCGAACCGGGACCCTTCAGTCCGCAGGCCGACGCTCTATCCACTGAGCCAAACCGGTTTGGCTCTCTTCCACTCTTACTAAAAAAAATCAATGGAAAAATGTCCTCAGGTTAGAATTTTTTAAAAAAAGAGAGTGCTAGATTAAATCTAGATATAGACAGGGAGAGAGAGATACAAACATATACATAGAGATAAACATAGACGTAGGGATAGATGCAGAGATAAAGGTAGAGAGATAAACATAGAGACAAACATAGAGATGTAGTAGTAGATAGAGACCTAGAGATGGAGACACAGAGATAAAGAGAGAAAGAGAGAGAGATTTCCATAGAAAGAGACTCCCAGCGGGCCCTCTGCCCTTCACCTCCCCTCTGAGGAGCCAGGGGCCAGGGAGATGTGATGTCCGGTGATAATATCAGGATTTTAAAACTGAGCCCCTCCGGCAACCAGAGGGAAGCGTCCCAGGCCCCTCACAGGCACCAGGCATCCAGGCTGCAGTTTTCATAGCTCCCAGAGCAGTTCCCCGCCCCCCCGCCCGCCCCCCGCACTTTTAACCAGAATCCGCACTGTTAACTGGTATGCAGATTAGCCATTAACTGGTTAAAATTCGGATTTTGTAATCAAAGAAAACACGATAATTTCAAGAGAAACATCAAAAGTGCTTTATTCCAAGTCATGTCCATCGCTGGCTACACATTCCCCATCTTTCAGGTGATTGGTGGAGACCGTCCCAATAGAATTTCCTTGTTTTGAGGCAAGACATTCAGAGACCCAGTTTCCCACGTCTTCGCACGTGTTGAAGTGCCGCTCAGAACGTGCGTGTGCCATCGATGGGAACAGGTGGTCATCGGAAGGAGCAATACAGCAACATAGCACACATATCAAATCACATACAGATCAGCATACGTGTAACACTGTCTATTGGAAAAAAATCTGCATTATTAACCAGTACACCTAGTATTTTTAACATATATTTTTTATTGATTTCAGAGAGGAAGGGAGAGGGAGAGAGAAACTTTAATGATAGCCCTAGCCAGGTTGGTTCAGTGGATAGAGCACCAGCCTCTGGACTGAAGGGTCCCAGGTTCGATACTGGTCAAGGGCACATGCCCGGTTGTGGGCTTGATCCCCAGAGTGAGGCCTACAGGAGGCAGCCCGTCAATGATTCTCTCTCATCACTAATGTTTCTATCCCTCTCTCCCTCTCCCTTCCTCTCTGACATCAATATTTATATATACATATAAAGGAACATTAATGATGAGAAAGAATCATCGATCGGCTGCCTCCTGCACGAGCTTGCAACCTGGGCATGTGCCCTTGGCCGGAATCGAATCTGGGACCCTCCAGTCTGCAGGCTGACGCTCTATCCACGTAGCCAAACCGGCCTGGGCTGGCTTCTCCCACTTTGCATAACGGGTTTCCAGGTTCATCCACCCTGTGGCAGCGACGAGATGTTTGTTTCTGTCACCTAGCGATGGCCGTCTGTTTTGGGTCCCGGCCGCGCAGGGAACACTTCCTGCTGCCCAGGACCCTAAGGACGTCGATACCAGGAGTGGGGTTGACTGGGTCAGAAGGTGGGCATGTCCCCTGCGTCCGGGGACACAGGCGCAGCCTGGCCCTCTGGCCTTGGGGCTGGAGCGGGCGGGGCCAGAGGCCTCCGGGGACTGAACTCCTGGCTGTCACCCTTCCAACCCTCCCTTTGCCCCTCCCAGAGCTCAGGGTGAAACTGGGTCACCCTGCGTTTGTTTAAACAAAGTCTGAAGCTCCAGAGAGCTGACCCACGCCCTGCGCAGCTTCTCCGCCTAACGTCCCCTCCAGGAGGACAAAGACCTTCTGGGAATGAAACCTCCGGCTCTGCCCTGGCCGGTGTGGCTCAGTGGATAGAGCGCCGGCCTGGGGACCAAAGGGTCCTGGGTTCGATACCGGTCAAGAGCATGTACCTCTGTTGCAGGCTCCTCCCACATCAATATTTATCTCTGTCTTTCCCTCTCCCTTCTACTCTCTCTCTAAAAAATCAATGGACAAATATCCTTGGGTGATAATTTAAAAAAAAAAAAAAAGGTCGGGCTCTGACTTCAGCTGTGCTTCCGGAGGCCGGGAGGTGCCGCGTCCTTAGGGAGGGCTGAAGTGCAGACCTGGCTGCATTTCCTCCTCAGGCCTCTGGGGCGCCTCTGCCAAGTTCCAGGGGACATGCCTGACTCCTCCTCACGCCTGGGGGGGGGGGGTCATGCACTCAGCCCTCAGGGCTGTGGGAAGGGACCCTCCCTGGCCTAGGGTCTCACCAGCAGCTTTTGAGGATGGTCTCCCTCTGGGCATTGTGCACTGGGGGCTGGGAGGGGCGGGTCCCGAGGACATTCCAGGGTTTTGCTTGTGTCCACAGCTGCTATTTGGAAAAAAAAACAACGGCCCAGAACTTGTAAATAACGAGGCAGCAGGGTCTTTCCTTGTCACACTGGAGTATCGTTTAATGGGCCCCCCACCCCCGCCCCCGCCTAAGGATTTCTGTATCTTTCAAGGCCAGGAACTAAAACCTGTTCTGTAAAGGGCCAGACCGCAAACGGGACTTCGCGGGCCGTGCAGCCACCACCGTGGCCACTGCTCACAAGTGCGGCTGGAAAGCAACCACAGAGGATCCACAGGGAGTGGGCATGGCTGGGTTTCAATAAAACTTTATTTACTAAAACAGGCAGTGAATATCCAGGATATAGAAAGAACGACACCTGCCCTAACCGGTGTGGCTCAGTGGATAGAGCGTCGGCCTGCGGACTCAAGGGTCCTGGGTTCGATTCTGGTCAAGGGCATGTACCTTGGTTGTGGGCACATCCCCAGTGGGGAGTGTGCAGGAGGCAGCTGATCGAAGTTTCTGTCTCATCGATGTTTCTAACTCTCTATCCCTCTCCCTTCCTCTCTGTAAAAAATCAATAAAATATATTTAAAAAAAAAGAAGAAAGAACGACACCTCCACCCGATTCAAAACTGGTCAAAGGACTTGATTAGACGTTTTCAAAGCAGACTCACCGACGGCCGACAAGCACATGAGCGGATGCTCCACCCCCCTCCAGTGACTTTCTTTTTTTAAATTATTTTTAATGTATTTTTATTGAGTTTATTGGGATGACAGTGCTTAGTAGAATCACACAGGTTTCATGTGCACAATTCTGTAATGCATCATCGGTGCATTGAACTGTGTGTCCACCACCCACGTCAGGTCTCCTTCCACCGTCATTCACCCCCTTTTACCCTCTCCTACACCCCCCCCCTGCAATCACCACACTGTTGCCGATGATTGAGCGACTTTCTCAGTGACAGCAGTAGCCCAGCTCACGGTCGTGCATCTTGCTTTCACTTAATTATAAACTTGGGAGCTCCCCCTCTGAGCACACCCTTCTCTAACTCGGCACAGTAAGGATCTGCCGCGTGTCATCCCACAGAAAGGTTGCACCGGGATTTCCCTAAAACCTCTCCTCTTGGAGGGATTGGCGGGCCGTTTCCCGGCTTGGGTGCCCTTTGGCCGGCAATCTGTTGCTATAGGACGCAGTTTTAAATGCATAACCTTCTAACACAGCTGCTCTCTCCCTAAGGATTTATCCTGCCCGCTCCCCAGCCTGGGGCACACATGCCAAGTCCCAGGAATTATGGTGGCAAACGTGCAGCCTTTAAGGGACACAGGGCCTAGCACGCCACTTCCACCCGGGCCGGGCCGCGGCTGGCACTGCCCCCACC